GCACAGGATTGTGTCCAGGAAGGTTTTGAAAGTCTCCAGAGAAGGAGACTCCACAACCTCTCTGGGCAGCCTGTTCCAGGGCTCCATCACCCTCACAGTAAAGAAGTTTTTTCTTATGTTGAGGTGGAACTTCCTGGGTTCCATTTTGTGCCTGTTGTCCCTTGTCCTATCACTGGGCATTACTGAAAAAAAGATTGGCCCCATCCTCTTGACACCCAAGCTCTAGGTATTCACAAGCATTGATAAGAACCCTTCTCAGTCTTCTCCAGGCTAAACAGACCCAGGTCTCTCAGACTTTCCTCATAAGAGAGAGGTTCCAGTCCCCTAATCATCTTTGTAGCCCTCCACTGGACTCTTTCCAGTAGTTCCCTGTCTTCTTGAACTGGAGGGCCCACAACTGGACAGAGTACTCTAGATGTGGCCTCACTAGGGCAGAGTAGAAAGGGAAAACAACTTCCCTCGACCTGCTGGTCACACTCTTCTTAATGCACCCCAGGATACCATTGGCCTTCTTGGCCACAAGAGCACACTGCTGGCTCATGGTTAACCTGTTGTCCACCAGGACTCCCAGGTCCTTCTCCACAGAGCTGCTTTCCAGCAGGTCAACCCCTAACCTGTACTGGTGTATGGGGTTATTCCTCCCCAAGTGCAGGACTCTACACTTGCCCTTGTTGGGCTTCATTAAGTTCCCCTCTGCCCAACTCTCCAGGATGTCCAGGACTCACTGAATGGCAGCATAGCCTTCTGGTGTGGCAGCCACTCCTCCCAGTTTTGTATCCTCAGAAAACTTGCTGAAGGTACACTGCGTCCCCTCATCCAGGTCACTGATGGATATGTTGAACAAGAAAGGATCCCATACTGACCCCTGGGGAACACTGCTAGCTACAGGCCTCCAGCTAGACTCTGCACCACTGATCACAACCCTCTGAGCTCTGTCATTCATCCAGTTCTTAATCCACCTCACTGCCCACTCATCTAACCCATACTTCATAAATATCCTGCCTCTGCTGGCAGCACACAAGCTATAACTCACACCAGAATCTAGCTGAGAAGAAATCCTTGTATGTCTCTAGTCCAACGTCCTGCTCAAATCAAGCCTAACTTCAAACTAGATCAGGTTCCTCATGTCTGTGTGCAGCTCACGTCTGAATATTTTCCACACTGGAGTCTTCACAGCCTCTCTGGGCATTCCAGTACCCTGGGGAAAACTTTATCTTTACATCCAGTTGGAGTTTCCCTTTGTTCCAATTTGTGCCCGTTGCCTTTCACTGTGCACCTCTGGGAAGAGTCTGGACTGCCTCTGCTTTATAGCCCCCTTGAGGTAGTGAAAAGCTGCAAGAGGATCTCCTCATTCACTTTATTTTCTCAACACTGAACAAGCCCCACACCCTTAACCCCTTCCCATATGTACACACATGAGTGCATGTCCACATCAGCAGCAAGCACAAGCCCTCTGTGAGGCTGCTCTCCTAAACCACCTCCACCCACAGCAAATGTAAGGTTTTCCTGATACACCAGCCCATCACTGGGTAGTTTCCTCATCAACAAGATGTTATTGTTCCTCTGCAAGCTCCCCACTGAACAGGCCCAACACCCTGTCACCAGCAGCAGACTTTCTTGGCCTGCAACCAGAGCCCACAGCCCCCATGTTTTAGGGACAAGAGAGAGCAAAAACGTGCCTGTTTCTTCAGAGCTGAGCATGAAAACTCATTTACCCTCCTGCAGCCCTCATCAAGCCAGACTGACAACTCTGGACCAAAGCCCAGAGAATAGTTTCATGATGTTAGAGCAGAGTCCTCCATCGTGGCCACAGGAACTATCTCCACTTTTATCTCTGACGTCCCTCCAGCAGCCAAATCTACTGTGCCCAAGAAGCAAAGCTGAGTGCAACCTCTGCCATTAGCGACCGCCATGATTCTGGCCACTGGGGTCCAGCAGAGAATACTGCCCTGGTGCCTGGCACAGGCAGCTGCTGCTGCAGCCCCCCCAGAGCAGAGTGGGCACCGTGGGAAAGTTAACAGAGCCTGAACCAGCACCCATTTCCCATGATAGCCCCAAGGAAGAAGGTGTGGATGGACTGTGAGGTCCTAGTGGCTTGCCTTCTGTAGCTATGGCCCAGGCACAGGGTTGAAGACCAAAGCAAGGTGCCACTGAGGCAGCAGAGGGGTGGAATTCCCACAAAAATCTGGGGAGGGGAGGGAGAGGAGACAGGTCACACAGCCCACACTGCGCTTGTGTGACCGTGCCCACCATTCCAGTGCTTCCCCAACATGGAATGGCACAACTGGGAGAAACAAACAACTGTGCAGAAGATTGCTTATTAAAAAGGGCAACTGAATACCCTGAGCATCAGCAGACAAACAGGCAAAGATCCATAAAGCATTTACAGCCTAGCCTTAATGGACAACAGTTACTATTTGTCTGGCTTTCTGTCCCATTCTGCTTCTGAAATCATAACGTGGGTAATTGCAGGAGAATCTATATACACTTTTACTGTTTCAGTTGTTAAACATCAAAATTTCCTAAACAAATCCTTGGGATCTTCCTGGTGATGGCTATTATAAATACCCCACTTGGAGAACAATCCCCAGTCCTCTAAAGAAAGAAATCACAAAAAACAAAACAAAACAAAACAAAATAAAACAAAAAACCACAAAAAAGTGATTTACTCTCATCACTCTTGCACTTTGTCACCAGCTAACTCTAATGCATATGTCACTCAAGTACAATTCAACAAACCTCAATTTAGCTCTTAAATGGTAAGAGCAAAAAAGGTCTTTTTTAACCTAGTATTTTAGAGACCTTGCTACAAACTCAGCCACACAAGATTCTCCACATTAAGAGGCTAGATCTCCATACACAGCCTTAGAAGAGATCAGCTGGAAATAACTGTGGGCACTGAACAGGCAAAATACTTTAAATACCCTTTTTATGTGCTGGACACTGAACATTAAACAGCTAGAGCTCTAGATTTTTCCAATAATAAGAAAAATGATATTATTGATCCCACTCTTCATCCATGCTGAGTACATTTTTAAACTTACCTCAGGCTAGCTGAAGATCCTTCAGCACTGGCGGTTCCTAGAGCTGGGAATTAGAACCGTGCAAGAAAGCAAAGAGAGAGAGAGAGGGAGAGAGAGAGGGAGAGAGAGAGAGAGAGAGAGAGAGAGAGAGAGAGAGAGGGGAGAGTCAGTGGTGGCTTGACGTTTCCCAGGATGGGACTGTCACATGCTAATCACTGATTTGAAACGCAGGCATAACAAACGCCTGCTAATTATGTAATCTTCAGGTCACATCCTTGCATCCCCATGAAAAATCAGGACTGTGCACTCAGAAGAGGATGATACTGACTCTTTTTTAAATTAGAAAAATTTAAACACGCTGCTGTGCAGGGAGAATTTGAAACGCAGGCATAACAAACGCCTGCTATTTATGTAATCTTCAGGTCACATCCTTGCATCCCCATGAAAAATCAGGACTGTGCACTCAGAAGAGGATGATACTGACTCTTTTTTAAATTAGAATTACACGCTGCTGCGCAGGGAGAGCGAGAAGCCTTGTGAAGGGAGGGGCAGAGCTGGGTGCTGGTGTGGTTTCTGCTACTTTGCCCAACTCAGGGGCTCTTACGTCCTCCTGCGGCAACCCAGTGAGGCAGCCTGCAGCTGGGGAGAGGGAGATGGGACCAGCTCCTCACAGTTTTCTCTGTCACCTTCAGTCTCCTGCAATGCATGGTGTCACTAAGGATGCCAGGGCCAAGGGGGCTTCTCTTCTTTCATTCAGGGGCTAAGAGCAAGGTTGCCAAAGTAGCTGGGGCAGGGGAGCAGCAACCACCAGTACTTGTGTATTTTCTGTTGCTTGTTAAATCATTAAAATCTTCCTTTGAGTGAAAATAAGGGCTTGGAAGGAGGTTGGAGAGTGGAAAGCAGCAGCCCTCCACACTTGCTCCATTTATTTACCAATGTCCTGCAGGGTTTCTTGATCTGAAGGGTGTCAAGAAAGCATGAGGAGAATGCAGGTGACCCAAGACCAGGGGTGTCAAGAAAAGACTGGAGCCAGTCCAGTGAGTTATTCTGAAGCCTAAGAGCACGGAGACATAAAGGAGGAGGAACAGCAACAAAAGGCAGACTGATCTCTCTCTGAAAGACAAAGCTCTGCTTCAAAGATACCCTTCAGGCAGAAAACCTGAAATGTAAAACCACACAGCCTAAATCAGTGTAATTGCTGTGCAACACAGATAAATGTGGTGGAGTCCTAGCAAAGGAGCTGAAAGTATAGGCTCATAGATTAACAGGAGCTCTGTGGCAGATACTGCTACTTCTGAAATCAAGGACTAGGGACAGAGGACACTGTCCTTCTTTTTTGGAGCTGGCCATTTCAGAAGCAAAACAACTAAACTGAATAAAATAAAACTATAACTCTGAAGGAGTTTGCTGGAAAGTGCATTTTTGGTGGGTCAAATGTACATGTGAATTCAACAAATAGCTCAAGGTAGGAGAGGATTTTTTTAATTAGTAAAAAGAAAAACACTGATCTTTATAAATCTATGAACAGAACATTTCAAATAGAGATTTTGTTATAGGCAGCTTTAAGAAAAAGGGCTGAAAGGCATTAAATTGCCAAATGAACTGCTTTCTATCAGATCGCCCAGTGTGTTTCATTCTGCTGATAATATGCTCTGTTTTTCTTCATTTTGCTAATAGACTACAGGGCCTAAGATTCTTCTGACTCCTAGCAAACTGAGCTGAGTATCTGAAGGCACGATTGAAGGAACAGCATTTGTACATTGTGTCTGCAGATGGAGGTGAGGACAGGTATTTCCTAGAAGTCCATTAAATATCTGTCAAGCAAAGACTCGACACACATCTTTTCTGACTGCATTGGTATGTTGTGGTGGGTTTTTTTAAACTAAAGTGGGTCAATTTTATTTGGACTTTACAGCTTATAATATCAAAACTAGCAGAAAAGACTCCATGACCCTTCCACTTCAAACATACTTGTCTTCACTGACTGGTCCAATGTACTCTGTTTGGAAACGTGTAGGTTCCAGCCCCATGAAACGTGTTCTCTTTGAACTCACCTTCATAAACTGTCCCAGAAGGATGTTCTAAGCCTTTCAGTACCATCAACCTGCATTTAATGAGAGACAAAGGATAAAGAAAATTATTAATGTTTATGCTGCAGTACTATTTCCTTTCATTACAATATCCTTTCAGATTGCTGCCTTAGAATCTGCTGTCATATTCAGATATGATAATGGAGAGGAACATGATTATTCTTTCAGATTCAGAGAGGTTCCTCTTTCTACAAGGATTTCAGGTAAGGGCTCAGAAGTTTTTGGCCATGCATGGTGTGCAATTAACTCCACCTCTACTGTTAGTCTCACAGGATCTTAATCTGCGCAGCACAGAACTGCTGTCCCCAGTCCTGCAAATAACTCCTCTACCCTGACAGCCTAAGAGGTTAATTAAATTTTCTGGAATTTATTTCTGTGGATCAAGGCAGAGCAAGTCTTTCATTTGTTCAGTGCTGGCCACTAAGCTGTGCCTGGGGATTTAAATCTGTGCTGCAAAGCATTTCTGTGCCATAATCTTAATTCTTATCATTGTACTAGTACTTTTGTAAGAGACTGAAAAAAAGGCTAGACTAGAACTAATAAAGGTAAAAGATGCTGTTTCCTAATTGCAGGCCCTTATTTGTCTCGTAGATGTATACATATTTGTGTGGATCTGTTGAGTATAGACACGTTTAGGAGGGCCATGCCTAGCCTGCTGTGTGTGCACAGCCCATTCATGCAGGGCTTTCATGGTGGCTGTGCCACGCGGGGCACCACCAGCACCACACTGCCAGGATGTTGCACCAGTGCCTGCCTGCCAGCAGTGACTGCTGTGCTTCCAGGAGCCCTGGGAGGCAGCAGGATGTCTGAAGACCCCATGTGTCTCTAGTCTTCAGACTGGGCTGTGATGAGATTCCCAGGTAGAAGAAGAGCTTGCTGCATTGGTCTGATCCTTCTCAGGTCATGACTTTCCTTTCTGTGCCTTTTTAAGGGAGGATATAATGAGAGACATTTCATTCCAAAGCCAGAGAAATTTTGAAATTAAAGAATACTTAAAATTACCTTGTCATTTTTCCTGTTGCTGACATACATAGTGCCATTGGTGCCAGTGTGGACTCCATGACAGTTCCTATTGAGCACACCCTCAGGTGTCCTTTTGCACTAAAAAAATGTGTGGTATTTTCACTTCAAGACAGAGAGCATCAGAAAGGCAAAACCCTGTGAGATGGTACAATGCATTTCTTGTGTTACACAAGCCATTTCTTCTAGAGCTGACTCCCCATCTCCTGTGGACAGACTGCCCCCAGAGGTGGGCCCTTGGAACACACAAATGCCTCTGGAGCAGGTGGGTTTGCAGGTGTCTTTGGGTGTCACTCATAGAGTTTGAGCCAGCAGCAGTCCCATTACCTGTTCTTCCACTGCCACCAAGCCCTGGTGTGGAGGTGGTGGGGAGCTGACGTGGGGTAGAGCAGATCCCAGTGGACCATCAGGGCGGTGGCTGTGGCTGTCTGCAGGAGGACTCCAAGGAATGATCCCTGTGGCGTGTGTCTAGGGAGGATTCTTATCCAGATGAAGCAGGGTGTTACCTGGGTCATAGTCCCTTTTTGAAAATTATTTTTTGCTTTAAACTCCAACCTGGCCCAGGTTGCCTGGAGGAGTTATGGAGTCTCCATCCATGGAGATGTTCAAGACCTGATGGGATGCGGTCTGGGACAGCTATAATGGCTGACCCTCCACATGCAGGGGACTGGGGATCTCCAGAGGGACCTCTCCACCTCTGCCATGCAACTTTGGGCTCACTTGTCACTTGGTGAAACCCTCACCCTTAAACCAGAATAGATTTCCTTGTTTTAATGCCATACACTCAGTTTTGCAAAAACAATTAGCCCTTGCCAAGACTTTCTTACGATACTTGTCTTTATCTGGGAATACGATGACACTATAAACCTGCCAGATCCGTTGAGAGATGTGCAGAAAATGCTGTTGCCAGAGGTCAATGTTCAAATAGGAGACAGAGGAGTCCTGTAAAAAACTACACTTTATTCGAATAAAGTGAGAGCCCACGGGCATACCCCGGTGGGGTCTCTGTTTTGCTGAGGGACGCAGACCCCTTTTTATCCTAATTTCCCGGCCGCATATGTCCCTTCTTCCTTCCCCACTGGCTGAGGTGCTAGGAGAGCGCAGACTTCCCGCTCCCCTTGACACGGACCCCGCTGCATGTCCCATTCCCTCCATGTTAAGCCTGCGCTGGGAGAAGTTCCTGCGTACAGCCCTGCTGAGCACGCCCACTGCTCCTCAGGTTCAAAGGCTGAGGCTATCCCAACTCCCTGGGGTAGGTAGCTGGCTTGGTTTAGTTCTCCTTCACCTTCCCAGATTACCCAACCCTCAGCGCGCTGCCGGAGGGTGCGACCCCCCGCCGGACAG